AAACAGACCATTATAATCCAGAACGGTGGYAGAAAACTCCAGATAATTGTCCTTCTCGGGATGTCCCGCGGGCAACTGCACGGAAACCTCGGGATCAGAAGTAACATATAAAATATCCTTAAGATCAGTGTATACATTAGTATAACCAAACTTGTACGACGCTGGTGCTGTTTCCATAGTCCAATTGAAACAACGAATAGTGAAAAACGTCTCCAAAGCAATGCCTTCTTTAATGTTTGATTCACATTTTCCTCCGAAGGGGGGTATACTGGTGGTGAATTGATGCTCGGTGATCCCTATGGGTCCCCCCTGCGTCCATCCTGTTAGCCTYACTACGTACGTGGTWCCCACTTCGAGGGCCATGTTCTTCAGGACAAAACTAGAGCTAYTTATGTTGGATAGCAACATCGAGGCGAGGTTGTTTATTCGCTGCCATTTTCCAGTAGATTTGACTTGTTTGAAAAAAGACCACTCGAGAAGTGTTTCTTGAAGGCAATTTTCGCTGCAAGTGTAAGAAGTCACCTCTTCGACGATTTTCTTTTCTTTGCAATTTTCCTTGCATCTGGAATATAATAACAACACCGTATTGTTTGAGGAAACGGGACTCACTTAATGTAAAGAAATAAAATCAGATTTCGCATTGCATGCGTACCACGATATTATGGTCGACACTCAAAGAAATTACTGCAAATAACCCCCTATAGAGGGAACACTCCATACTACGGTCGCTTTGGTCCCGAAGGAGTTGGTTATGATTGTAAGCCGTTGTTTGCAGTCACAATGCTGTATGATAGGAAATAAGTATGTACTGAAGTTAGGCAACGAAATGACTTATTAAGTGTACATCTAACCTTATTTGTACTGATGGAACATCTCTCTTAATTCGTTGAATCACCGTGAACGCCGTGGCTACCCGATTTCCTTCTTGAATCTCAAGCAGTGCCATCATCGWAGTAATTCCAGGAAACAGTTCTGGTAACACTGTGATAACTTGACTRCTACTTCCTGGAAAATGGTACTTATKCTCCCCACAGGACTKCGTGACGTTGCTGCAAGACTTATTTGCGCATGCYAAYGACGTCAGSGGCTCTASATTGAGATCTAWTGYCTTATATGGCATGCTGCAAATGGACCACTTATAGGTCAATGTATCATTGGCCATCTCCGACCTATCAGGATCACGTGACTTTGATCCATCGAGTTTGATTGGCTGGCTGCTTGTTCTTAAAATACCAGACCCCTGAAGAATCACGGCCACTAAGGGTGTCTTAGTAACTTCCATRTAACCTTTACAYGACATAAAWACTCCCTTGACTCCATTAAGCTTGAGCGTCAGAATTATCTTGTAGATGCCGTAWTYAAGTRTYAGCGGCTGYACGATCAAGTTTGACGTAGTTGTAGTTAGTTTGTTATGGTGAACATACGTGTTATTCTCCAGTTTGAACAAATCCCACGTTAACATGGCACCCGTTGCATCTTCGCACTGGATGTTATACTTGGAGCGTATCACAAAACTTAACGACTTGAGAATTCTTGTTGCCTTTGATTGTAATGATGCGATGTTGGTAATAGTAATATTSTCGATGCGGCAGGGATTCTGGGTAATTGCTATCGGGCTTGTAACAGTCTCGTTCAGCAAACCGTCCGTYCCWCTAAATCTAATCGTGTAGACTCTAGCTTTATAGTAAGTATGGTTGTAATACATCAATTTCATTATCGGAAAAGACTTCTCCATTTTGTAATATAATTTGCTGCAAGTTGTGTTCCCATAAGCAACTTTGGTTCCATCATCAAGATCAAGAACAAAACACGACCCAGGGGCAGGATTYCGTACCTTCATGGTGACTAAAATAGCATGTTTCATAAACCCAGGTCCATTATTGCTTAGGGACAAACCAAGCTCAGGTCCAGTGACCACAGTTTTGTACCTTGCTGATAACGTCCCTAGGGTATTATTGCATATTAATGTAATCCTATAGGTACCATATGTAGGATACTTATGCGAAGCTACTCTCAGGGGATTTTCGTAAGTGTAATTCCGCTTGTCTTCTTTACTGAAGGTTAATTCACATTCATATGCTGTGCCTTGAGCTAAACGTATCTCACAGAACGTTTCATTTGAAAGTATAACTGATKTATTGCAGCTGATGTCCAAGCCTTGCAATGGTTTTAATTCGARGACTTTGAGTGTTTTAGAAACGTTTTTCGCAGTAACATTGTTGAAAGCTGTAGTTTTGATATTGAAATCTCCATTTCGAGTGTATCGATACGATGTCTTGAAGTTAAACGTTTTCTCGGTGAATATTTTCCCATCATYCATGTCGACCTTGATGGTGGGGCGAGTACCATTGTGCACTGTAGCCTCTATGGTCACCTGATGGTAATAACAAGATAGTGTGATTTGACAGGGTTTGTGATACTCTATTAATTTTTTTTGGTCTTTATTTCTACTTCATCAACAATGAATAATATTTTTGTTTCACGGTCAATAAGGACACGACTTTACGAAGATAACCTTTCCTATTGCTTGATCTTGCTGCTACTACTGTTGCTACGTTCCCTGTTGGCACTGCTGCCGGTGCTGCTACACTAATAGAGGGGTTTTCATCGGACTGTGAAACAGTTACTAAGCTTATAAGCACTTATTCACTGTAAAACCAATTTGACTATTAGATGCTGAATGTTGCTGCTGTAAATTTTAACAATAAGGTGCGATCCATTAGACTTTTGAGGGGCCGAGGGGGGCTAGAGATCTAGTTGGTGCATGAATTTTTTTTGAACTTAAGGCGCGCGCTTGCATTCTTTTTGTAAATTTACAAAAGCTTTAGTGGGTGGTTTTGCCCCACCCACCCTCCTCTGGTCAGATAAGGTAAGTAGTTTCAATTCCACTGTTTTTACAGTGTGACAGGTGCCGAGGTTGACCCGTGGCTAGGTTGTCATTGTTACCACCTTGCCAATTGCTTGCCTTCGCTTGCCTTGCTCTAGGCTCCTACCCTCCATCGTAACGACAAGTTAATCAAACTTTTGCCTTGCAGGAATTTTTTTCAAAATCTTCCACCACCCCTCAAAAGTCTAATGGATCGTCCCTAATAAGCATGAACATACCTCATCACCCGTAAAGCAATCTTTAAACCTCGTTTTACACAAAATAGACACATTGTAGCCTTGTAGAGGGAATTCCACGATGACATTCGTACAGGCTCTACCAGCATTGATACTATTAGACGCGTTAGCACATATCTCRAGTACGCTTTCATTCTGAAACAAGTGCTCGATGGTATTCCCACCAAGYGCTTTATTCTTCAATGTTATATATCTCCATGTCGATATTCCATCATTTGAAGAAATGTAGATTAGCAGATGGCTACCGGTGGTCCAAAGCAGTGTCAGTTTAGTTACCACGCCCGCAGACAGCTTATATAGCGATTGGCTAAAGTGAAGACCYGATATTCTTTCTTGAACAAYTATYTTGTTATTCTTCTTTAATGAACTGACTCTGTTTTTAGCTTTGACAAAGAAAGTATAGTTTCCAGGCTCTTGATAGGAGTTGTTTATGCTAAAGTTCTTGGTTTTTRTTGAAGGAATGTTGTCGCCAAATTTCCATGTGATTTCTGGCGGTTCCATGGAAACCACATCTAACGYCATCTTAAATTGCCCAGTCTCATTCACGGTTAATAAACTAGGCGCGGTTACATTCAGCCCTTCGAGTTTAACYTGCACATACGCTGTTGCGTTRACGGACAGGTTATTAAGGACGTTAGATGCAAATATGTTGATGGAAAACTCGCCCTCTCGGGTGTAGTTATGAGTAATGGTATGGGATAAAGGATGTGTCGCGTTGGCTTGTTGCCCAAGCAAGATGGTGTTGTTCGTCAAATCTCCCCAATTGAAAATTGCAGTAACATTAGTACCCATCGCCATTGACCATCCAAGGCTGAGAAGATTATACAGGACAACGTTGAAAGTTTTCTCCTTCGTGGCCAACGTTGTAACTGAAAAAAAAAAATTAAATGAGCGAGATACGACCTAGTTTTTGCATTGCTCATTAATACAAATTTTGGAACGATTGAGCTTAAAGGTTAAGTGTGAATCTAAACATATTTAACCAGCTGACATCAATAACAAATTCTGCGTTCAGAATCCTATTTGATACACTAGAAGGTTTTTTGACCTTGCAATGCATTCTGACAATATTTTTTTTATAAACTATAGCCAATACATCGGTATACACCTTCTCACACTGTGCGCAGAAGAGCTTTAAGGTGTTTCGATCGTAATAAATAGCGTTTCGCGCGTATTTTTAAACTCCAACTACGTCGCAAATTTCGATATCATTGCACTCAAATTTTCACAGAAGTAACAGTGATTATCGATAATTGTTGTAGATAAATTAATTTGCCAAAAAGCGAAGCCATTTGGATAAACGATGCAAAATAAAAACACCTTCATCTTTCTTCAAAGTTAATTTTCTCAAAACTCATCGTCAGTATATCAATTATGCTATTAAAAAATGATTCTGAAAATTTTATTACAATCTCTGCGATGAGTTTCGAGAAAATTAATTTTGGAGAAAAATGAAGGCGTTTCTATTTTGTTTCGTTTATCCAAATGGCTTTGCTTTTTGGCAAATTAATTTATCTACAAGAATTATCGATAATCACTGTGACTTCTGTGAAAGTTTGAGTGCAATTGAATCGAAATTTCCGACGTAGTTGGAGTCTAAAAATACGCGTGAAACGCTATTTATTACGATCGCAACACCTTAAACCTAAAGTTATTCAGAAATGAAGACGAGCGCATACAGCTATTTCAAAAAACGTTGTCGAGGAGAACGGCGATTGTCGAATGTAGAATGCACGACCGAAAGGGACTATTGTTACACTGTTTTCATAAACAAAATTTCACTTATTGGATTCATGTTGCATAGAAATGGTGACTAAATGGAGYSAATGTTTACCACAKACCATCTTACAGTACAATYAGTTGTTATTGMCTTTTAACTAGTAAAAACCATGGCTACTTTCAGTCGTGCAATCGCCGTTCGACCCTTGACATTCGCCATTTTATCCGACAACCTTTTTTAAAATATATGAACTCTATTAAAGCTAGTTTTGTGAATAACAGGGTGGGATCCACGAGTTTTGTTTTATAAATAACAAAATGGGATCCACGATTTTTTCCTTAAGAGGAAATACTTTCAGGGGGGAATGCCACTGAATATCATACCTGGACATGGCTTAAGGCAATTTGTAGTTTGTTGTTCTAAGGGGCAATGGGCACCTTTWGTTGTAGTGACAGGATTCAGACAAGGCTTCTTGCGTGTTTTTGTTGCATAAAGACCACATTCTGTACAGTTAGTCCAGGGACCCCACTCACTGTCAAGACCGCCAGACGCTGAACACAAACAAATTATAAAAATGTWATGTGTCCATTTCTTTGTCGGTTTGATCARWCTGCTATTCTGYCATCCATCAGTCTACAGACCTATCTACCTAATAACCTAGTACCAGCCTGCTGTACAAATCAACTTGTCGATCAATCGATCAATCAATCAAATCAACCAACCAACCAACCAATCCATCCTTCAATGCACTCTTAACTTGCATTTTCAACCAACCTACAAACGAGCCAACCAACACACCATCAAACTCGCAGAACAACCAAGCAATCAACCGACTAATCATTCGTTGTGTCATTAATATTATTTCTATTTCTATTTCTATTTCTATTTCTATTTCTATTTCTATTTCTATTTCTATTTCTATTTCTATTTCTATTTCTATTTCTATTTCTATTTCTATTTCTATTTCTATTTCTATTTCATCACATACCGGTCTGACAGCTATACCACATGGTAAATGTCTTCACATGTTTATTACATGGATCACCACCTAGGTCGTTGCTTTTTTTGGAAATCTGGCAGGATGTCTTGCCATCACACAATCTCCTCACTATACGATTTGTGTTTGGCTGTTCGTTACAGCTTGAGGCTTTCCACATTGCCTTGTGGTGCACTATTGTCATATTGTCATAGCATTTCAAGTTGCTAGGGGTCAACGGATTGTATTCACTCGCACCAAATTTGTAGACTGCAAATTTAAATAAGTCATTTTATTTCTCATATTCATGTTAGGTAAAGAGTAAAAACATGGCAAAACATGAACTGAGATTATAGTACAATGCTTAGTGCCGAGTCTATCCCACAATGCATAGTGTGGAGCCTATCCAATAATGTTTAATACTAAGCCTGCCCACAATGCTTAGCTGAGCTTGTCCCACAATGCTTGGTGCTGAACCTATTCCCCACAATGCTTAGTGTTGAGCCTATCGCACAATACTTAGTAATGCTAAGTACTGAGTCTATCCCACAATGCTTGGTACTGAACCTATCCCACAATGCTTAGTGTTGAGCCTATCCCACAATACTTAGTAATGCTTAGTACTGAGTCTATCCCACAATGCTTGGTACTGAACCTATTCCCCACAATGCTTAGTGTTGAGCCTATCGCACAATACTTAGTAATGCTAAGTACTGAGTCTATCCCACAATGCTTGGTACTGAACCTATCCCACAATGCTTAGTGTTGAGCCTATCCCACAATACTTAGTAATGCTTAGTACTGAGTCTATCCCACAATGCTTGGTACTGAACCTATTCCCCACAATGCTTAGTGTTGAGCCTATCGCACAATACTTAGTAATGCTAAGTACTGAGTCTATCCCACAATGCTTGGTACTG